GTGCACAGGAGATGGAAGGAATTTGAGATAGGTTAGACACCTTTCCGAGACCCTCGCGTGTAATCTCAGGTCTTTGAGATAAAAAAAGAAATGTCACGACTGTGAGGGACGCAATTAAAAAATTAACGGGAAGGGAGGAATCGGAAAACAAGCGATGACGCAAGATCAAAGAATTTTTCCTTGCAAATAATCACGAACATTACCTGATCTTCTACAAAAGATGTTTAAAATGTTCAAATTACGCTAATACATTACGTTATTATGTGACAGATTGTTTTCCTTTTAAAAGTCATTTATTGTTTCCATCAGTCGTTAAAATGTTTGATTGGAAATTGAAAAGCAATCACAATACTACCGATATACTAATATATATTGAGCGAATGCAAAAGTTTGATGAATTTTTGATAGCAAAATGGAAAGAGAGAGAGAGAGAGAGAGAGAGAGAGAGAGAGAGAGAGAGAGAGAGAGAGAGAAATAATTTGATTAAAAATAATTTACTGTCTACCTTTTACTTGATCAAAGTTGGAGAAAGAGAATAGATAGCGATTATTTGGATGAGATTAAACCGTTTTTAATCAAATTACTTAGTCCATTTTTCTACCACAAAATCCATCAGATATGTTGCACTCGCTCGATACATTATGTTGATATCCGTTGTGTAATACATCGACTGTCTCTGCTTTCTCTCCAATATTCGACAATAATACCATACAATTCGCCATAAGGATACATTATAAGAATAAATTATAATGATCAGATCATGTTAAGAGGACCAATTCCCATTCGATCGTTAAAATTAAGCAACATTTTCTTTTGTGTATTTATATGCATACTCCTAGACAGGATATATCTGTGTAGCGTTTTCCTCTTAATTATTATTCGAAACGTTCGTTTTCGGATTAACGGAGTCTTCTCGCTTAAAGTTTATCTACGTCGTCAAGAAACTTTCCGCGAAAAAATGAAAGAGAGTAAATAATAACGAAGACCGACCGGCCGATAATACCCATTCGAAACGAGAATTAGGCTCGTTATCGTGGCAAGGTCAGGGTTTAACGAAGATTAAACAGTACCGAAGCACGTTTGGTTCCATTTCCGTATGAATATAAAGTTTACTTCGATGAGCAGCAAGATTTTTTTCTGTTCACATAAATGTTTTACGATTAATTTTTTCTATAATCGATCGCTAAAATGTATTTTTCACAAGCTCATTTTTTCTTTATAATCATTTAAAATTTGTGAACTATTTTTAGTCCGAACTTTATATAGCTAAGGAATTAAATAAAAATTGAATATAAAAGCTAAGAATATCAAATTAGAATGAAATGAGTGAATCAACAAAATTAATTAAAATTTGGAAATTTGATTAAATAATGAATTAGTTAAAACAAAATCAATTCCAAATTTGTTAAAAATATCCAAGTGCGTAAATTTTATTGATTTCGACGTTTTTATTAGATTAGAGATTTTTTGCCATAGTATGATCTAATAAAGAGACAAGACAGAAATCACGTGTAAATTATCTTGTGGTCAATAATTTAGCTACTTTTGTCGCGAATAAAATAATCAAAGGAGCGGCGGTGATAGCAGGATCTTGACGTAGAAGAGGAGAGAGATAGCTTGTTTGCTCTAGATTAAGATGAATTAACGAATTCGACCGGATCAACACGAACGTCGTATATCTTTTTTTATTTTTTTAAAGTCGTTTTCTGCTGTTTGGCTCGAACGTGTAAGAATTAATTACAGAGAGTGGATATGTATATTACAAGTAAGATAATTTGAACGACTTATTTAGATATTGTTTAAAAAAAGTGTCTCGAGTGCGTCTTCATCTCTTTATAAGACAATTATTATGTCAAATAACAAGAACAAACATTATCTTTCCATGATTCAACGTCGCGTTATACAAGATAGATGTGTGTTTTGTTGCGTCGTAAATGGAACCGGTTATTGACAGTGTTCTAGCATATCGTGTAAACAGTATTGCAAACAGAATATAATATTAGTGATTTAGTGAAGCGTTTCTAATAATTAATTCCCATGGTATCATTGATACATTCTATTTTTATCTCAAAACATCCGCGAATCATTATCGTGTGAGGTGCCAAGTAAAAAAAAAAGAAACGGCACTGATATTTGTGTTTTCACTGTCGATACAACGATCGACTTTGATGTCGCGAAATTCCCGACAAGCTGCATTTTGGCCATGAATCATTATCTGTTTACGTAAGATGAATTCCAGGTACAGTTCATTAATAATTCAGCTTGTTCAGCGGCAAGCGTAAATCGAGCCACTATTTTATAGTTCTATTTTTCTCTTTTACAGGCATTCGTCATTTTATTTCTCGTGACGTAAAAGATCCGTTGACGTTTTGCATTGATGTTTTATAAGATAGATTCATATGACACTATGAGACTTATAACATCAACCTAACCTCACGCAATGATTTGTTATTGCCTGTACGAATCAATCGGTGATTATTAGATTTGATTACTTCCCGTCTGATTAAGCATCTTATCGCGCGATTAGTTAGCAACTTTTTTTTGCTTTACTACGGACGTATAGCTGCGTATACAAGTGGTTTAAAAGAATGAGTCCTCCATAAACGATTTATTTATTTGCACGTACATAATACCGCGAATATTGATAATGTTTCGATAACTCCGTGTTATATACGTAATTAAATTACTCTGAAACACCTTTCTCATATAGTAAAACAATGGATGCACTTACGAGGAACCAGCTGCGACTACGTGTTTATTTTAATGTCGAATAAATTAAATCGAGAATGACCTACACTCGCGAAAAAAATTTGTCGCTTCATCAAAATGCGCGGACAATTTAACCAAATGGGTACCGGAGTAAATATTATTATTACGGAGTTAGATTAACGTTTCTTGGTTATTAGTCGAGCAAATTTAACAGGTTGAGCGATCGTTTCAGTCTTGATGAACCAACCTCTACCTTATAAATATTTGCTTTGCGCGAATCACAAGAAGCAGTTTTAACTCGCCTCGTTTTACACGAATAGACACACATACGTATCCTTCGTATTACTTTCATGCAGACTTGTCACGAACATTTTGGTTGGGAAACCAAACTGATGCCGGTTGACAAGATTAGCGTTACGTCAAGCTGACAATCTAACGCTCGAGACACGAGACAGAAAAGCTATCGATGCTGAAAGCATCGATAGCTTTTCTCACTTACCTATATCTGCCGCGAAAAGATCTCACAAGCCGAGCTCGTCCACTTGTAGGCGAGGAAATCGCGCGAATCTGCCGAATCCGTCAACGAGAACTCGCGAGCGAACTTTTCATCGATGCCCAGCCGACGTCATCGTAGTACTATGCGTTTGAATCCAACCGCATGAACGTAGCCGCGCGCGCGTCCCTTCTACCGCCGCGACGCGCTTTAGTAACCCACGCGAGCGGATTAGTAACCTAAAAGCAATTTTACATCACATGAAGACACGACTCTCACGCGATTAAAGTCTTGCAGTTCCGATTTGTGTATTTTCAGATAGAACAAGTATTTAGATAATATTCGTGTATACTCTTGATAACAGAGCGCAAAAACGCTATTGTTATGCGAGGTTATGATCGTACATCGATATATATATATACATATATATATATATATATAGATCGTACAATTGGTGATACACGCGATGATCAAAGGGAAAGATCAGAGTGTCCGCGATAAATCGTTTGTTATCGTAATAAAGTCTCTAGAGTTATCAAAGTAATGTCTCGAACTTTACAGATCTTTTATCCGCGATAGGGCACCGTACGGCGCGCGCACGTTTGGCCTTACTATAGATTCCACATTAGTCCGTGAATCATGAGAGAGAGAGAGAGAGAGAGAGAGAGAGAGAGAGAGAGAGAGAGAGAGAGAGAGAAGATAAAAATTTTTACCGTAGAGTTACTTCCGAAGTAGCCCCGGCTACTTCCATCACGATGTTCCACGTTGCTCGCAAGTGGAAACGATCGTCCGGGGTTAACTCGACGACAATCATGATCGCGATTACGAGGAAGCTACGAGGAAGTCGGCGGGTCTCCCTCCTCTTTCTCCCTGCCGTTCTGTACGCCAACTTCGCGGCGATTTCCCCACTCGGACGCCGTGACTGCGATTCGATTATTTCCGCTGGCGCTGGTCGCTCGCGCGCCAAAAGCGGCGCGCGATTCGCCGCCCGCAGCCGCCAATGACCGTCGACCGATACCACTTGTCGGCAGTGGCGGATTCAGCGGCTCGACCTCTGGGGGTAAGTTGGTTGTTTGGTTAGATTGCTTATCTCCTAAGGGAAGAGCCGCCGGAAAAGTGTAATTGCACGATTCTTCGCACTGCACGCGGCATACTCTCTCGATCTCGGCTTAAGGTCATTCTACAATACGTGTCGTAAGTTGTAAGCCGTAAGAACTGACCAATTATAGCCGATTATTTTTGTAATAATCGACTGTGATTCGCCAATTCTTACGGCTTACAACTTACGACACGTATCGTAGAGTGACCTTTAATCCTTGAAATCAGGCTCGGTAGTATTGCCGGTAGAGTTTCGAGAGAACAGCTATCCGCCTGTGAAGAAACAAGTTGTCCGTCCCTTCCTTCCCGAGCCCTTGGTCGTGTTGACGCAGGAACAAAGACGAATTTAGCTTTGACAAGCAATTATTTCCCCTGCTTTCCGCGTTCGCAGTTGTCCGACCACGACTCGTCGCAATTCGCGCAGTCTTCGTGAGAAAAACTGACGCCTACGCGCGACGCGAGCAAATGGTGAAGCAAAATCGGGCGTGCACGCTACAGAGAGGCGAGAAATGTTTGAGGAAAATTTCCGAGGCTGGGGCAAGACACCGTTTCCCCGCCGGTCGTGGATCCGCGCCTGCTTACTCGCTCCCGATTGCGTTGCGCCGTCTCACTCGCGCTCACCGAGGACGTACAGTGGGGGAACGGCGGGGGGATTGACGTGTGTACGGGGGAAGGGAGAAAGGAGGAGATGTGGTGGCAACACTTCCCGGCACTTCCTACAGCGGCTTTGCATCAGTGAGTTCAGCTCAGTCGCTCGCCGACCTCGAGACGTGATTGGTGTTTTTCGCGATTAAAGCCGCAGCTGTGTATGCCGCAGTCGCGCCGCAATCGCCACCGCTCGACGAGCAGCAGCGACGCGCTTGTTATCGTCTCCGCGAAGCGGATCCTTGCGCAAGAGCCGTTGTCGCGCGCGCGCTCCGAACTTTGCGAACCTCCGCGTCCGCGTTCGCGTCCTCGCGCGTTGCCGCGATCGTCGTAGCCGTAGTCGTCGACGTCGTCGTCGTCATCGTCATCATCATCGTCATCATCTTCGTAGTCGTAGTCGTAGTCGTCGTCATCGTCGTCGTCATCGTCGAGACACAAGTGACAGCGGGAGCTAAAAAGGACCAAGTGACACAAGTGCGAGCACAAGCCGCTCCTTCCCGAGTGCTATGACCGAGGATTCTCCGCCGTTCTGCTGTGATACGTAAGAAGCGCGAACTCGCCGATAATTCGCGCTCCCGATACAATCCCTCTCACGTGTTCTCGCGTGGTCGCGGCGAAAACTCCGCTGCGGACAGAGCCGCTCTCTTTCTAACTCCCTCCCATCCCCTTCTCCCTTCGTATTCCCCGACTCTCTCTCTCTCTCTCTCCCCCCCCCCTCTTGCTCTCGCGGATGCCGCCCGCTGCGACCTGATTACGCGCGCGCGTGCCGCCCTGTGCGTGCGTGCCCGCGACACACGAGGGAACGGGATCGGCGATTCATCATCGGCCGATGAACGGTGGATGAACGGTTTGTGTCCCGATTATCGTCGCACGGTCGACCAGTGACATTGACAGCTGCCCGGTCAGTGACATTTGACAGCCGCTCGTCGCCCCGTGCCGTGGAGGATTTTACTCGCGAGAAGCAGCAGCCGACATCGCGAAGTCGAGCGGAGCAGGCAGTCTTCGAGGTAATTGGCCGCAAGATTTTTCCGTATGTCGCGCATGTTGCATGTTGCATGTTGTGCGTTACGGCGAAGCGACGACGAGCCACGTCGACGACGTGCGCGCTGCGTCTGTGCTCTCTCTGCGTACGTGTGTGCGTGCGTGCGTGCGTGCGTGTATGTATGTGTACGTGCGTGTGTCGCGCATGCATATCCGCCGCTACGCGCGTGCGCGTGCGCGCACTCTCGGTACTTCCGATCCTCCGCTGTAAACAAACCGTCGTCATCATCGTCGTCGTCGTCGTCGTCGTCGTCGTCGTCGTCGTCGCGCCGAACGTAGTTTTCCTCTCCTGTGGCGCTGCCGGAGTCACACGCGCCTCGCGAACTGCGTATTCCGCGCACGATCTTGAGAGCGGGATTTATCAAAATTTATTGCCGCGTCGCGCTTTATCGCCGACGAGCGAGCGGTTGCTCCAATTCGTCGCGAGCTGCGCGCGCCTCTGGAGATCCGCTTCTCGTTTCCGCGCGATCCGCGGAATTCTGGCGATCGAACTGAATTCTGCAACTCGATTCTCGATGCCCGACTTTTCGATGCCGCGCGACACTTGCGTAATTCTCTCGTGCGCGAGAGTGCCCGCGCCACGCTCGAAACGCCCGCCGGTTGTTTACATAAACGCTAAATATCAATTTTACGCACGGGAAAATGCACGGCTTGCCGGTTTTGCAATTGTTCCCCGTGTCGGTGGCGCGTACACGCGTGTGTCACACGAAAGTCGTGTTTTAATTTACCGCCGCTTACACTCGTTAAAGCGAAGCGAAACGCTTCGTCTCGTTCGCGATTTATAATCGCGGACACGTCGTTAATAAAGGACGCATACAGTTAGGATAATCGACGGACCGGAGGTGCAGCGCGTTCGTTTCGTTTCGCAAAAGATCGTGCATCTCTTTATTAGCCTTCCTCTCGCACATTTCACGGGTCCACGAATCATTTCCCGCGTCTCGCGCGGCATAACGGTATCGACAGACACGCTTCTTCGCGCTGCCTGCTGCGTCCTCTCCCCCCTCCCCCCTCTCCCCCCGTAACATCGCGCTTTATTCTTACGTTTATATTCTCACGTTTTTACTGTCGTCGTCGCGCGCGCGCGCGCCCATTAAACTCGCACGCGAAAGGTCGCACCGTCGTTCCAAGTCGCTCGATTTTCCTTCTCCGTTTCACCCTCGCGCTCGCTCGCTCGCGCGCGCGCGAGGGGGAGAGAGAGAGAGAGAGAGAGAGATCGCGGCGCGTTGCGATCCACGTACGAGAGGACGAGCAGCTAATTCCGGCACGGCGCGACACGCGGAACCCGGAAATCCGCCGAAAGCCCGGCCTCGCTTTAATCCGCTCGGCGATGTTAATAAACGGTCGCGTGGAATTCAATTAACGCGGACCGCTGACGTCAGCGCGCTCTTGCGACTTTGCCGTTGCGGCAGGTCGACAATTAGCGGGCAAGCAACGCGGCGCGGGCGCGAACGAAACGTCTCGAATCGCGCGCGAGAGAGGCGGCGATCGGTCTGAAATCTGGAGATTCTCGCGAGCGGATTATAATTCCTTATGAGGTCCGAACGGTATAGAATAAATAATGAAAAAAACGGCTGCTCGACTTTCTCGCGCGATCGAATTTCCTCCCGAGACTTAGATGCGATAGATAGCAAAACATGATAACGAGACGTCGCTTGTATAATGCCGGCGTTGCGAAAGCGCTTTCCGCCCCGTCGGCCGAGTATCGGCCGAGTAAAATATTAATTGGGCTTGTTGCTAATGTTGCCGCCGCGGCCTTAGGTGGGCGGGCGCCGCTTTTGTCTATAATTAGACATGGTTATGTAAAATGCAATTATATTTAACCTGTGCCGATAGTTAAGATGCTTAAACTACTTTTGAAATAGCCAAAAATATCTGAAATGCCTGGATCGTAGTACGCTGCTCTCTGCGGAGCTACTATCAGGTAAACCGATCTTCGCGCTATCGCACAATATGTGTGGCCCCCTGGAATTTCGTACGAACGGGAGCCGTTCGCACGAGAAATGGTGAATATTTTCTGTTCCTACGATCTATATACGACTGAACGATTTTTACTTTCACACATATTGCAGCGTGCGCGCACACACACACGCACGCACGCACGCACGCACGCACGCACGCACGCACGCACTTTGCGTACAGGTACGAGCAAATATTGAAATATGTTTTTCGACGTTTTCGACGTAGTCTAAACACAACCGGCACGTGTATCTACAAGTTGTCGCGAAAATTGAATTCAAATTCAAATTGGGTGGTCGCGTAGCAGTCACACATCCCGCGCCCCTCCGACTCCTCCCTCCCCTCCTCGTATCGATACGCGGAAGTAAGGTTTTCAAATATCTCACAAGTGTTGCAATGTTCGAACATAATCTTATCGCTCGAAAATCATTTGGCGCTTAAATAAGTCTTCGGGCATTGTTTGGCCGAATGACAATAACGACGGCGCCGATTAAGGACGGTGACGACCACGTGAACACGAAAGCGCCTACGCACGCTTCTCTTCTTGACAGATCGATGGGATCTAACGTACCTTGCCGTATACGGAAACCGTTTACGTAAACCAGCCCGGTAGGAACCGCTCGTATTTCTTAATCGTTATTAAGGAAGTTGCGCGTTATCATTTACATAACGCGAGCGAGCGAGCGAGTCTGGACGAGCGCCTCGCGCGCGTAATACCCGCTCGCGGCTTTCGCAAGATTTCCGCGAGTTTCGCGCGCGGCCGCCGCCGCCGCCGCCGCCGCCGCCGCGCTGTGGCGAATGAGCGAACTGAGGGCGAATGATTCTTATTTCGTAAAGCACACACTCGGGAGGGCGGCCTGTGATTCGCGGTAGAATCCCAAGTGGAATCGTTTGCCTGTGAGAAAGATATCGGGAGAATTCGATCGACATTTTCAGATATCTCCGGTAATTTCTAAATGATTTTTTTTTTTTTTTTTTTTTGCATGATAGATCGAGTGAAATTACGAGTAGAATTCTGTCGCATATTGATCGTCCAGAGTGAGCTTGGAATAATTTTGAATTTGCGCTCAACAATTGTACGTCTAGCCATTTCGATATATTATTACCTGAAACTGAGAAAGAGAGAGAGAGAGAGATAGAGAGATAGAGAGAGAGAGAGAGAAAGGCAAAGGTGAATAATATTTTAATATCACGAAGCTGTGTAGACGTGTGTTATTTTTCTCCGAAGCGGTAATATTTTTCACGCTGTACGCCGGGGGAGATGAGAACCTCTCTTCTTCAAATTTTCCGAGGGATATCTCCAACCGTGGTGTTGTTATCTCGACTCGAAGATCGAAATCGGCGTAGTTTCGGTAGAGCTCAATTTCCGTTGCTATCGCGACACGCACGGAAGGATCTTGCGCCACCGTTCGCCGTTGCTGTTGTCACAGATATAAACGAGAAGAGATCATCTACGCGTGCCTGTGGCGTCGGAGTCTGAACTCGTATGACATTATATCAGTTTCGATCTCCATCGTGAACTATGCGTGACGAGATGACGCGCGCCTGCGAGAAAACGTTATCGGGAGCAACATCTCGGCGCGCGTGAAAAGAAGCGCGCTCGCTTACGTTAACGTGAGGGAAAAAAAAAGAAGAAGAAATAACGCCGGCGATATAATACCGCCGGCGGACACTCTCTTTCTCTTGGCTCACGGAGTGTCGCGACGTTTCTCTCTCTCTCTCTCTCTCTCTCTCTCTCTCTCTCTCTGTTGATCGTCCATATTCGCCGCGACAGAAAAAAATACGACGAAGGACATCTGTTTGAACCTTTTCTTCAGCCCATTGACAAAAATGGACTTTCATTAGTCCCGGCCTTCCCCGGAGTTGAAGAGGAGACTCGAATAACTTTGAATAACGTTACATCTGAACGTTAACAATATTATATCCGAATAGAAATATCTCCGAATGATGATCTCACACGAACCGGAACTATTCGTGCGCGAGTATCGTGCGACGAATTCACTGCGCGCCGATGATAAATCGACGAGTACCCTTGAACATTCCGAAGAAACGATAACCGGCGGGCTTTATCAAGCCGGAGCAACGGGTTGTCGTCGCATTTACCGTCTGCGTCGTTACGATTACCCGGATCGATGACGCGATAAAAATAGCTGGGAAAATAGAGACAATAAGGAAGAAACTCGTCACACTCGGGGAAGTGTCGGGTCTCTTCGCTTCCACATAAAGAATTGAATTGAGACGCACGTATCCCCCCCCCTCCCTCCCCCCCGCAAGGACATCCTCGCTCTCCGGTTCTTCGTCGCGCCAGGCGCGAGAGCGATCGGTCGGGGCTTTCCTCCTTTGTCCGCTGCTCGACGCGGATTGATTTCTGATTAATGCATCGTCCCGCCCGCGATACTTCCTCGTTGCGAAACCGCGAGCGAGGCAACGGTACCGGCACTGACGTGACGCTGCAATGCGCGCAATCAAAGCTCTCCGCGAGAGCCCGCCGTGAAGATGTTTACAAACTCCGTAAGTAGATAGTAAAGAAGACAAAGCGCGGAGGGTCGGCCGCTGCTTCATTGGCGTAAGTCCGAGATCCGCGCGCGGCTCGTCGAATCTTGACGGAGGGCCTGTCGGGAGTCGATTTAATCACGCGTCATTTGTTGCAACACTCGCTATCACGCTCTCTGGAGAATGATTCGCGCACGTTGATAGCACCAGCTTCCGTTCGAGGCACTCGAGTCGTTCGATGCTGCTGCTGAACTGAGCAGATTTGCTCCGAACCTTTACGAACGTAAGAAAGAGCGCGAAAGCGTTGACGAAGGCATCCACGTCCTGGTGACCGAGGATGTCTGCGAGGAAGGATAGCAAGGATTTGAGAAAGTTTCACTAGGCAGAGGTGCCATTGGCAGCCCCCCGATTGGGCTGATTTCCACTGTGACTCTAATCTCAGGTTTTACTCGCGGACTGTCCCCTGGCTCTGGGGACTTTTTCCCCGCAAGACTCCACTCGTCATTGGCTAGATAAT